ATGTTTAAAGATTATTTTCTTCATGTTTGATGTGAATAAAATTACTTACTGAGATGGAAATGCTGTCTCCTTTCTATAATGTTTGAACACTGACGTGTATTTGCATTTATTTTGTCCTCCACAAGCAAAAAAGGAGAAATGATCACTCTGTTTATACAGTGTTTTGATTTTTGACATTGTGACATTTTGTGATAGTCTAAAGACCTCAGTGTCCCAGTCATATTGTGGAGTCACAGCAAGCCTCTAAGGTATTTATAACTTTGTTGGGATTTAGATTAAAACTATGAGAAACTAACATGCAAACTCAGGCCATACATACCCTTTGGGGGCAATTTGGCCTGTAGACATATTAATATAAGTCTGTTTTGTGTATTCACACTGGTGGCATCCAAAAATTAGAAACAAATTGAATACCTAAATTAAAATGAAATGCCTTAGTAAAGTACAACACGGTAGGTTTATGAATGTACCATGCGCTAGTACAGAAAACATGATGGATTTCCCCAAGAAGGAGAATATACAAAGTCATGACCACATTGTAGTCTCATTTATGTAAATAAGTGATGAGAAGACTGGATCCCCACATCTTACAAGTCTATGCACTTATCCTGGCCTCTATGTTTTTATTCTATTGTAAAGCTGTGTAGCCTACAGTAGTGCTCCATGTTTGTGCTGTTGGCCTTTGAAGAAAGAAAATGAGATTCCTTGGCTCCTCCAAAGCATTAAAACATTTAAGGAAAATGATGCCATATTTACATTCTGAGGCAAGGAAAATCTTTGTTACAGTGTCAGAGGAAAAAAAAAGAAAGAACTTCATTTTAGGCACATTGTCGCTACAAAAATGACAAATAATATTTCTTCAATTTTGTTGTTGAGTTTTAACACAAAATGGAAATGTACTGGTTATCGTTCCCAATATAGAATTTTACCATAGATAAATATAATGATAAAATGCATAAGGCAGACGGTTAACATCATCACTCACATTAGTGATCAAAGATGAGCCCCTAATTTGTTGAAAATAAAAACCTTAAAACAGTAGTAATGCCTGGGCCACTGAGATTTGTGGGCCAAGGAATTAAATTATATGTTTTTAATAGACTGTTGTATTTAAGGTAAACGGAAGGACTAAAATTTATGTATAAGAAAGGGCTAAGTACAAAAGCTGTTTACATTTAATGTTTTATGTGAAAGTAAGACAGTGGAAAAAACAATAGTACTATATTTTTCCAGGCCAATTCCTTCCATTCATATATCAGATTATTTGAAGGGCATCAGGTAAATACATTTAAAATTACCCCCATGGGCAAACCCAGAAAACCACTAAGAATGCATCAAAAAAGGCAATAAGTAAAATAAAACCAGAAAAGCAAATCATGAGTTTTGCCTTCACCAAAGATAAGATAATGTCACAAACTGAAAGTATGGTTAAAGATGCTCTGTACTCTTCCAAAATAAAAGAAATAATGAAGCAATATACTTTCTAACACCAGTATAATGCCTATAACATAACACCAGGATACATGGAGACATGGAGTGTATGTGTGTGTGTGTGTGTGTGTGTGTGTGTGTATGTGTGTCTGTGTATGTGTGTTTTTGTGTGTGTATGGGTGTCTCTGGGTGTGTGTGTATGTGTGTTTTTGTGTGTGTGTATGGGTGTCTATGGGTGTGTGTGTGTGTGTGTGTGTGTGTGTGTGTGTGTGTGTGTGCCAAAAGACGATGATGTCTTCCTCAATCACTCTTCTACCTTGTTATTTGAGATGGTCCTCTTATTGCCCTGGAACTTGCTGATTTGCCTAGAGGATCAGCCAGCAGGGCCCCAGGATTTTCCTGTCTCCACCTCTCCAGCACTGGGATTATAGACATTTATACTTGGTTTCAAATAGTACTATTTTGACCACAGGATAATCAGACACGCTACATCTTAGAATCCTTAGTCTATATAATCTGACAGTCATGCTTATGCCCTTGCATTTGTCCATGACTGAGGAGGGGTACTTATGTATCCAGAACACGGGACGGGTTCAGACAATATCTTACTCTTATATTTATTACTCTTCCTGATGGAAGGAAATCTGAGGAAAACTGAACCATGCCTAAAAATTGTCACCCATCTTAGACTCACTGACTTCCATTCCTCAGTGTAGCTTTAAACTACAGCACCTGTAATAAGGCTACTTATTATGTACAATGGAACAATGAAAAAGAAGAGATGGAGTGTCTCTCTCTGTGTGTATGTGTGTGTAAAATATCATTTATAAGGTTATTCTGTCTTCATAATTTCAAGAGGAAGAAGCTATTAGTTCTGTCATGACGAACCCAATAAATATTGTTAAATTTTCATTTTAGCCTTGCAAACTTAGCAAGTACATTATTGTTTGCGTGTTTTTATAATTAATGATAGCAGTATGATCTTCTTGTGTAATTGTTCCATTTGTTCAGAAAGTTCCCACTGCTTGACGGATAGGCTTTCTGCTTATCTCCTGCTGAGTCCCTGCAGTTATGATACTCAAAATACAAAAAGTTCAGATTTTTCTTGCTGCTGTCTTTCATTTCTGTTTACCATTTATTCGTACGCAAAGGGGAAGGAAGCTTGATGTGGGAGTGAGCTTTCATATACATGATTAGGAGCTGTTCTGTCAGAAGAACTACTTAATCTTCGGCACTATTTATGAGGCACTCAAGGTACATCTTGCATTGCTTTGTGTCACAGATAGATCTCATTTATCTTGCTGAATACTCGAAATAGCTAAAGGAATGTTTCAGTTTCCTGGAAAGCAGTTCATTTATGAAGCTTCTATGTTCAAGCTCTACAGATTTTTTTGGTCATTAGCCAGTCAGAATATTGTATTTCTTTATCTGGCGCTATGATAGATTTAGCATATGCAAAGGACCACAGACTAAATCATTATCATCACTATCATCATCATCATCATTATCATCATCATCATCACCATCAACATCAATCCCTTTCTCCTTTCCATCCTCTTCCTTTTATCTTTATTTTCCTCCTTCTACCTATATCCCTGAAAAGATGCAGTATCATTATCTGTTTAGGTTGGGTTGTAACAAATACTGTCATTGCATGGTTGAAGCTTTGCTTTAGAAAATGGGGACATTATGCAAACAGCTGTTGGGAATCTCTTTTCTCTTTCAAGTCCCCAAGAGGAAGTCTGTTACTTAGCTAAAGAACTGAAGTGGGAATGATGCCAATTCAAGAAGTCTTCAAACTAGGCCATATGGACAATTTTAAACTTAAAAAATGCATATAGGTAACACTATATGGAATAAGGAGGTTGTATTTATGTATTTAGGAACACACACACACACACACACACACACACACACACACACACACACACACAAACACAAAGGAAAAGAGGCCATGAACTCGAGAGAGAGCAAGGGGTGTACATGGGAGGAGTGGAATGGAGAAAAGAGAAGGTGGAAACATTGTAATTATACTATAATTTCAAAAATACTGTAAAATATGTATTATTGAGGATAGGATCTCTCTGTACACACACGGGCTTCACATGTGTGCCACTGCACATATATGGAAGTTGAAGAACAACTCTTGGTAGATAACTTTCTCCTTCCACTGTTGGGTCCCTGGATCTAACTGGAGTCATCAAGCTTGCACAATTGAGCCATCTCCCTGGCCCCCTAGGTATTTATTTTAAAAATAGATTGCCTGGTTTAAGAGTCAGCATTTCTTACTGATGAGAAATACCATTAAAGCATAATGATATTAGTAAATTGGAAAGTTTTTTTTTATTTTTTTTATTTTTATTTTTTTGGTTTTTCGAGACAGGGTTTCTCTGTGTAGCTTTGCGCCTTTCCTGGAACTCACTTGGTAACTTGGTAGTCCAGGCTGGCCTCAAACTCACAGAGATCCACCTGGCTCTGCCTCCCGAGTGCTGGGATTAAAGGCGTGCGCCACCACTGCCCGGCTATGGAAAGTTTTTTATTAATTAAATTAAATTTATTTATTTATTTTACATCCAGATCACAGTTTCTCCTCCATCCTCCCCAATGAGTTTATTATCAGTCTTCCTGAGGACAGGCAAGACAGCCAAAAAACTGTTCCTTTTGTAAAGTCTAATGAAGGATTTGTCAATAATGTGTATTTCATTATCTAATGTAGAAAGAAATTTCAGAGCTACTGACAATTTGTTGCTGTTATTTTGTTATTTTTATTTTTATCTTTTCACTGCTTAAAATTCTTATATGTCTTGATTATAAACTGGGGAGCATAGATTATATTTTCTTGCTTTATAAACAATGGTGACATTTTCTCGTTTTGTTTTTTGTTTTTCACATTCTTATTTCCTTTTTCGCCTCTCTTTTCCATTGCCCCTATAATGAAAACTCTGTTTGCTTTAGAGCTCTACACTGGAACTGAAAGGGCTCTTTCCGTCTCTTGAAGTTCCTCACTTTACAGTAGGGAATCAAACACTCAGAGAAGAAATGACTCATGTAGCTTGTTTGGTTGTAGATCTTCATCCAGAATCCCAGAGGTTCCCTGACTTTCTTCTTATTCCTTTGTATCAATTCCCATTGTGAATACCCAACTTACAGAGCAACATTTGAAGAGATCCTAACAAGCCCTGCATGGGGACTTGCTTACCTTTCTGGTTGATGACCTCTGGTTAATAGTGCATATAACAATATCGAGTGTGTTTGTGTGTGTGTGTGTGTGTGTGTGTGTGTGTGTGTGTGTGTGTGTGTGTGTGTGTGACTGTACAAACAACATCTTATAAACAGTGTTTGGTGTCTTCATGGAATTATGCCTGAAAGGCGAGTGGCTCTCTGTGGATACTCAGATAGTGTTCTTTGCAATATACCTGAACACTTCATTCTCACTGTTAAAAAAAAATGGCACATACAATAGTAGAATTATACTTGCTAGTTATAATGTCACAGTGATTCTTTCATCCTTGACCCTATGATGTCTCTCATTTGTGCTGACCTATTCCATCCTCTTTTTGCTATTCTAGGTTTGTGTGCTGGAGAGGCAAATATTTGATTTCCTTGGATATCAGTGGGCACCTATCCTGGCAAATTTTGTACATATTATCATCGTCATCCTTGGTTTGTTTGGAACAATTCAATATAGACCTCGTTACATAACAGGAGTAAGTACCTTCCTGCGTTTACCTAATTTACTGAACTGGAGAAAGACAGACATGTAAGCTACAGAAGGCCTACAAACTAAATATATATCCTACTTTAAGGGTAGCATTATCTTAAATCATGTGTATATTTTCATAGTTTTAGACTACATCAAATAGTTATTGAGTTTGACAATGGATATAATCATATTGTATTTTCATTAATTGCACTTTGGGCAAATGTTTTCATATAATTACAAGCAGAACCATGATCCTATGTTTCTAAATTATCAAGTTGTGGCCTCCAAATTAAGAAAATTTGATAAGATTGTTTTCTCATTTAAAATAATCCTGTCTCAAAAATTAGATAATCATAGCTTAAAACCACTGCAAACATCTATGTACTATTGATGTAAAAATTTCAATACACATTAGGAATACTGTTTGAACTAGTTAGAAGATAGAATATTCTGGACCATTGTCTCTGTTGTTCCTGTAATTCTCATTTTGACTCAGAGGAAGTATTTTGCATTCCTATTCAAATCAAACTTACTTAACATAAAAGTGAAACTCAACTGTGTTTCAGTTGCTATGGGAACCATAATAGGATTTTTTTTTTTTTTTTTTTTTTTTTTTTTTTTTTTTTTTTTTTTTTTTTTTACTTAGTATGTGCCTCAGATTTCTGCTATCATTCTTCATTAATGTAGGGGCTTTATTTGATGATCCTATTGTTGTTTTTCAAGTTTAAACTTTTTTTATCCTGTTATATTTTTGATAAGGGAAATGTATGGGGACTTATTTTAAATGTTAAAACTAGTTTCTTGTTACAGCATGTTAGTAGAGTTGAAGATGGCTTCCTTGAGCTCACATCACCAGTGCTTCTCAGCTTCTCAAGGTTCATGAAACTCCCTTCTCATAAAAGGTCCCCTTGTCTGGCTAGTATAGTACTCCTGAACACAGATGAGGCTCACTGGAACTGAGGCAAGAATGTAATAGAAGATGCATCCAAGAGGTTCAGTGCCTTGCAAAGGAAGCAAGAAAGTCTATAGTCCATGCATCCAGGAATGTGCTCTGAGAAAGGGCATGCAATATGTGTATCGAGGTAGTGATTTGTGGTGTAAAAAGTTGAAGGGTAAATTTTTCTGTTTAAGTTATGATAGTATTGCCCATTTGACAAATTCATACAAATACACAGATTATTTTTTTTTATCAGCTTCACTTCCATTGCTCTCTTTGTCACCTTCTCTGGCTGAACTTCTTTTTTTCTTTTTTCCAACTAGTGTCCCTACCTTGGTGTGTGTGTGTGTGTGTGTGTGTGTGTGTGTGTGTGTGTGTGTGTGTATGCGTGTGTGCCCACGCATGAGTGCCCACACATGCCCATGCCGATGACTTTCTTTAGGATTGCTTCCATGAGTAGATAGATGAGGGATGTTTACTGGTGCTTAGTCAACTTAGTTGTAACTATACCACCACCTGAAGGAAAATAATTCTCCTTCTCCAGAGATCCACTGAATTCTTATAACTTCTCAAGGAGGGGAGGGAATTCATGAGACCTTACCTCATCAATGACAGAATGTTGTTGGGTCCAGGCTCTTACAGATTGGATGCAGGTAACTACAGCTACTATGAGTCCATGAATTCGATGACTGTATAAATTACAGAAAAAAAACTTGCACAACACTTCTCCTCCTCCTCCTCTTACATTCCTTTTTCTCCCTCTCATGTTTCCTGGTCTAAGGAGTAGGTGACATAAAGGTTCTGGTTAGGGCTGAGTACTTAACAGTCATTTACTGTCTGCACTTGGGTCAGTTTTGGATCTCTGAAGCAGAAGCTTCTCTGGCCAAGGCTGGGACAGCACAGTCTCTGAATACAAACATAAACACTTAGCAGGCATTTTGACAGCATGTCCCATTAGCAAACAACTTCAGTAATATCTCTCTAGGACCTATGAGTTCTCTAGTCAGTGGCATTTGACCAGGTTTACATGGTCAGGAATGTGTTACCTTATGAGGAATGTGACTCATATTCAATCAGAAAGATTCAGTTATTCTCATAACAACTCTGCCACTGTTGTGCCAGTAAGCGTATCTTGTCTGTCAGATTGGTACTGCAACATGCCAAGTCCACATCGGTTAAGACTGTGGATGACTCTTCTCTTCTGGCAGCTGGCATAAGACTTTTAGCACAATGAATACTAGCTAGGAAAGAGGACACTTGGTTTATTTTCCTGTGTCCTATAGCCAAAGTAAATAGTATCTTCATAAATATGGCCTTACTGTTAAATTTTGGTGTGGAACCAAGAACAATGGCAATAGCCTGTATAGTTTTGGTTGCTTCTGGTACCTCCCAAACCAACAACTCAGAGCTGTGTCTCACATTTGGCAGTGGGATTTTTGTTTAATAACTGTTGGCTTCTGGGAGCAGCATTAGCCACTCATGCAGAGTACCTTCATACAAATGATCATTTTTTTAAAGTTTTTCTTTAAAAAAACTGTATTTTTAGTTAGCTTTTGAAATAATAGGTTTCCATATAATAGGTTAAAATAGTAAGTTTACATAATTTCTAATTTTGGTTAACTCTGCCTCCCATATCTTTCTTCAACTCCTCACCAAACCAATTTGATCTAAGGTAGAGACTACATAGTATAATGACCAGGAGTGGACCATTTGTAGTCAAAATATCAAGGCCGAATTCTTGGATGTAACAAGCTATTAGTGGCTGTGTACAACTTTGTCTCATCTAGATTCAATATTTTTCTTTAAAATAGAAGTATTAATTATATTTTTTCATAATATTTTAGTTGATCTACTATCAACTATAAATGAAAAATCGGACTCTGTGTCATTTTGTGGTTTTATTCTTATAATTAAAGTAGCTTTGAGTATCATTAAATAAATATTGTGTCTGTATTTATGAATAAATAGTTGGGACAAAAACCAAAATGTCTGAACAATTTAAAAATGGAAAGGGAAGTCTTAGGTAAGAAGTAGGATAGTTTATGAAATACATTTATCACAATGCTTAGTGTTCAAAGGTGTTCAATGCAAATTAGCTATAGTATTTTCCCTATCACTATTCAAACGTAATAGTAAATAATACATTGTAGCTGTAGTCTAGGAAGAAAGGTAACCTAAAGTGCTGGTTGAACTGTTTTCTATGCCTTTCGTAGCAAGCACTTTGAGACTACTCTGGATTCAACAATAATCTTTCTGTAAGTCTTAGATCTTTGTCTAGTTGTGTGTTAGTCCAACTTGAAACACTGCTGGGGTTCTGTGTCACAACACATTTTCACACTACACCCTCATTTGCTCTTTCTTATAGGCAGCACTCTGGGGTGGATATTTTCTGTAGACGCTGCCTTATGCTGAGAATCCTTTGCCTATGGCTGATGCTAAATTTCTGTATTCTAACTCAGTGAGTTCTGGGTTAGAAACGCAACCTTCAAGTTCTGCTTGGCAATTCATGTTCTCTTTATTGCTCTCTTACAATATCGTGTCATATTCAGCTAAAACATTGTAAATAGCTCTGACAACTGCCTTCTTGACAACCCTCTTAATCAGATCAGCATATCCCACAAATATGCCATTTGAATTCCCAATTATTTCAGGCTCTGGCCATGATCATTGCTCTCAGTATCTATCACGAGTTGTCTCTACAGCCCTAAAACAAGTTTTCTTGCTGCTTTTCTCATCTCTGCTAACAGTCCTTTCTGTTCTATTCTCTATTGGCTTTTCTCACAACCAACACTGTGGGCTTTGGGAGTTGTATTGTATCTCTCTGTTTTAGTAATAATTTTTAAAGTTACCTATTTCTGTATAATTTCTATGACTGAGCGTCTAAAAGTGGCTTCAGAAAAATAGGGACATAGGGCATAAAAATGGAATAAAATTACAGTTTGTCCAAAGAAGACAAAAAAATTGCAGTTGAAAGAAACTTAAATAGAATCTGAAATGATGGAAATTCTACTTCTTGAGAAGAAAAATGCATGATTAGAGGTTGTTGCTGACAGTGATGTATTGGCTGCAGTTAAGACTTAAAACTTAGAGTATAACAATGACATTTATCTAATTCTTTCTTTCCTAAATAGGTAGCCCTTTGTGATTTTTATATTTGTCATTTTATATTTTTTATCAGTAGTTCAATATAAAATTAGGCAAATTCACAATTTCATTCCTGACAAGTATTATGGACAGTTTTGTTTTCCTTACATATGTATTGATGAACCCTATTTGAAAATTGAAATTTTTAATGTATATCATCATATAACAATTTTAAATCTTTTGATATAATATTAAATTATAAATATATATTCCATTCATTTGAACCTTCTTAACTTTAATGCTTACATCATTTACTCCCAAGTTTTACTATTACAAATTGTACAATGTTCTCCATGAAAATACTCTTGTGTTTAATCTATGAATTATTCCTTAGGAGAAATACCTAATAATAAAAAGTATACCAGTATTTTTAAGACATAACTGAGAGGTTCATATCCCAAATTCTATTAAATCATCCTGTGGCCAGAAAGTACATTTTACCCTTGCTAGCGCTGATAAACAAGAGAAAAATTTACTGTTTTTTAAAATTCTCTTTAATTTTAATGAAGTAGATTATTATTCATTTCATTTCATTTTGGGGTGATAAACTTGGCATGGCCATTCAATGGTTTTTTTTATAAATATTTAAGAATTTATATATTACATATATGAAAACTCATGGTATTGAATATATTATAGTATCAAATAATACATGATTTTCTCATGTATTTATATGCTATAAATATCTAGTAAGATATTATATATTAACATATATCATATAGTTATAAGAATGACTCCTTATCCTGTCAGAGGAGGGAATGGGGATAGGTTGGGAGGGGAAGGCTGGAGGGTAGGAGGAGGGAAGAGATGGGAATCTGTGACTGGTATATAAAACCTAAAAAAGCATTTAAAAATGAATAACTAAAAGCCTATTTGTAAAATTTCACAAAAGTAAGAAAGTTATATATTAATATAACAATATA